CTTAATGACTGAGCCACCCAGGCACCCCTAAAACCCATATTCTTAAGTGTATACCATTTTCATGTGAGGGTCAGGGTATAGCCTCTGGAGCCAGCATTGCTGGGTTCAAATCCCTGCTCCACCACTTAATAGATGGGTGACTTTGAGTAAGATCAATTTTTCTGTACCTCAGTTTCCTCTTCTGTAAAATGGGTATGCTAAGAGTCACTCTATAGGGTTGTTAAGAGGATTTAAATGAGCTAAAACACAGAACACACCACGGCAGTGTCTGCCTGGCACTCTGTTTTACTCCTTCTCAATTCCTGGGCATTGAGCCCTAGATACTGTGCACCATGCAACATGCAGAGTCTCAGGCACCTCCTCCAAAGTCCTCCCTCCCACCCACCCCCTTCCAGAGTTGGATGATTGCTACAGACCTGGTGAATTCCTCAAACTCCTTAAAGTGTATTTTCTTGATTTTCTTCGATGTTTTCCTAGTGGATAAGAGAGGAAGTTCTCTTGTCAGGAGAGGGGAAATCCAAGTTAATGGGACCTCAGATAGTACATGTGGGTGGGCCTGTCTGTGAGTCCAAACCAGAGCTCCAAAAGGAGAGTTTCTTCTACCTGAGGTGGGACCCTGACTCTGTCTCTCCATGCTCCAGTGGGACACACAGTGGGCTTGGTCAGCCAGGCCTGGGCTCACAACCTGGCTGGCTGGGTGACTCTGGGCAGGTCACTTCCCTTTGCAGAGCCTCTTGCTTCTTATTACCCAGAACAAACACCTCCCGGGGTAGCTGAGAGATGCTCAATAATCTGAATTGTTTGGGAGCCCCTGACTCCCACTTCCTCTGCCAAGGCTGAATCCAGCTTTTGGAACAAGAGTGGTGAAAACTAACTCCCCAAATCTTGGGCCTGGCAGACATCACTAATCGACCACAGACAGCACTCTTTCCCAGAAGGCCTGCATCTGGCCTCAGAATCTTTGACAACACAGTTCAAGTAGCAAGATAAAACAAATATCCATCCCTGCCCTTCGGGCCCTCTCTTTATCCGTTATGGCTGTGGCCTACCTAAGCATGGACAAGAGTCCCTTTCTCAGGTTCCCACCCACTCCCTAGGTTCATGGTGCAGAAATGGAAGTCAGCCACCCAGGAGCTGGTATGCGCATTTAACAAATGAAAAGCTGAGGCTCAAACAGTGAAGCATCTTGTCCACTTAACCTGCAGCCTGTCTGATTTCCGCTTGGCTCTGCTGCATCCTATCCGTTCTGGCCACACGGCCCCCGTGGGCAGCTAGCAGAGATCTAGAATGTGGGCAGTTCCTTATCCCCTCCCCCTTGTGGTCAGCTGGCCCCTCCTCATCCCACGTTAGCCCCATCCCTCCTAGGGGATGCTGCTCATTCTCCAGTCTGCAGTCACCAATAGATGCTGGCTTTTCACCTGCCCAGGGGTCACCTCCTTCCAAAGAAGGACATTTCCTTAGAGAGGACTCAGGTTGGTCTGAGGCTCAGCGACAGGCCCCAGTGCAGAGTTTTTTCCTTCTCCTAAGGGCTGCAAGCCCACTTCTTGCCAGAGAAGGCAGGACAAAGAAGGGACTGCCACCCCTGTCTTCTGTAGGGCCCCTGACAGCTGGCCCACGATTTGTGAAGGGCCTTCCCTATTTCTCGAAGAAGGCCCTCTTTTTCGTCTTTCCTAGAGAGCTTGAGATCATGTAGGATGTGGTCGGAGAGTAGCTGTATAGGGGGGAGGCAAGGAGGCTGCCACCCTCAGACATGTGCCGAGGTGACACCGGACATCGGCCAACCTCAGGTGACCAGTGGGGTTGGACATGCTGGGCATGCTTGGACAGGCCCTGGCGCACCATGACACCTCAAATAGGCCAGCATCCCACCCCCAGCGCTGAAGGAGCGGCACAGAACAGAAGGCAAATGACAGGGGACACGGCGGCGGGGGGGTGTCTGACACTCAGCTTGTCAGCCTTCTTAGCCAGAGCCTCGCTGAAGCCCTGGAACTTGAGCAGGGTCAGATTGGGACTGAAGATCTTCAAGTCTGAGTAGTAGCCTCCCGGCTGTCGGATCGGGCGCACCTGGTCCTTCTGGAAAATGATCTTGTCCCCCGGGTACAGCAGGGCTGCAAGCAGCAAGAGAAATGTGACCTGTCAGCCCAGGACCCCTCTCTGCCCTGAGCCTTTGGGGCAGAGGAGGGTTTTTTTTTTTTTATTGACATTTTTGTTTGAAAAGATTTTTTCTTATATACATTCTAAACTTTTTCTGTTTAAATGATTGTAGATTCACAGCAAGTTGTGAAAGGAGTTCAGAGGGTCCCTTAGACTCTCCCTCTACCTTCCCCTAATGGTGATGTGGCATAAAACCATAGTGTGGTGTCAGGAAGTGGGGCTGGTCGCTGTCTGGACTACAGATGGGGGAGCTTGTTTATAGCCAGGTCAGCCACGGCCCCAAGGCCCGGGTGCAGTTAGGATGGAGTGTGCAGCCCCATGTCCCACTCTGCAGAGGTTGTGCTGGTCAGGAACCCACAGGAGGAGGGGAGATTCACCCAAGACTTCACTAGGTTAACTTAGACCTAGTCGATGACAGTTTTCTCCTCCCCTAGAATTAGTCTCACAGATATCCTCGGGAGACTTTTCTAAGAAGTCAGAGCACAAAAAACACTGGGCTCTGTCTTCCTGCAGCCATTGAGCAGTGCTTGTCCCAAGATGGTAACACGTGACTAACTCATATTCTAGAAAAAAGCAATGGAAGTTTACACTCCAGGTTATTAATGCTGGTTATCTGAGGGGAGAGGGAAGGGACATATGCAACATCAACATTTTAAAAAGGTACACAGGATTTTTTAAAACTACATTTAAAGATATATATATAAAATTTAAAAATAATTTACATAAAAATTTTGTATAAATGGAAAAGAAAAAGAGGTCTGTGAAAGGACAATCAGTAAAATATTAATGGTGTCAACTCAAGCTGGGGAAATTTTTATCTTTCTGTTTTCAAAAAAAGCTTAAGTGAGCAAGTATTATCTATAATATTGGGGGGGAGAAAAACAATAAAGCTGTATTCACTGGGGAGAGGGAAAATGCCTCAAAGTTTTAAAACTCTAGCCCTTGAGCTTGAGGCCTGGAATCGGAGCCCACCAAGCTCTAGTCTAAAACACAGACCCAGAAGTCCCAACGTTTGAGTTTCTTTCCTCACAGCAGGAGCAGGTCTCTGTCACAGAGACAGCCAATAGATAGTGGCCAGGATAGTGGTCAGAGATGGACTAGAGTTTTTTTCCATCTAGAACAATCAGAAGCAAAAGGAAGGCCACCCACGGATGTTCCTGTGTGCCCGTGAGTAGGATCCTTCCAGCCAGTACAGTTGACAGGCCCAGGAGCTAGCAAAATCTAGCAGTGGAGGGAATCAGTAGCGGCTCAGGGTTCCGAGGGGACAAAGGAGGCACATCCAGAGGAAAGGCCTGGCCCACAGGGCAGTCCCGGGTGCATGCGTGGTAAGCCTGCCTGCGTTCAGAAGACAGTTAGCTGTAGCTTCACCACTAGCCAAGACCAGGGAATGTACACAATCAGGGAAGATGAGGCTCCCTGAGGAAGGAGGAAGGAAGGATGATGTGGCAAAAAGTCCGTGTCCAGAGCTGCAGGATTTCTTGCCTTTGCCCTCCCAGCCCAGGTGGGCAGCAAGTGGCTGCCCAAGTGAGGGGGTGCAGCACGTCCAGGAGACAATGACCACTTAGGTTGGTTTGCCTGTGTTTCTGGAGACTTTTGGCCACACGCTGTTGTACAGACCTGTTATGGGCTGAGTTGTGTCCCCCCACCCAAGGCCAAATTCATATATTGAAGCCCTAACCCCCCAAAACCTCAGAATTCGTATTTGGAGAGAGGCTCTTTTAAGAGGTGATCAGGCTAACACGAGGGTGGGCTCAAATCTGATCTGACTGGTGTCCTTGTAAGAGGAGATTTGGACACAAGAGAGACACCAGGGGCATGAGTGTGCAGAGGGGAAACCCTGTGAAAAGGCAGCGAGAATGTGGCCATCCTGCGAGCCCAGGAGAGAGGCTTCAGGAGAAACCAGCCCTGTCGGCACCTTGATCTTGGCCTCCAGAAGTGTGAGAAGACAAATTTCTGTTGTTCAAACCACCTGGTCTGTGGTATTTTTATTGTGGCAGCCTGAGCAAATTAATACAAGACCTAGGGCCCTATGCATTGTGCACTTGCTTCTGTCTCTCTTGGGAAAAAGATGGAAACAGTCAGTTGTGACGGTTAACTTATTCTCAGGGAAGTCACACCACTGTCTGTGTGCCCCTTTCTCTGAAAGCCACACTTCTCAGTTTGGCCATGGTTCCTTCCTGGCCACTTGGGAAAACGCTGCCCTCAAGCGCAGCTTGCTCTTTTGTGCTTTTAAGGCACAAAGTGAGACCTGCCCGTTAAATTTATAAATTCACAAATTTGGGGCACCAGCATTGCTGTGTGGTCATCGGGGGCTTATAGGGCAATCCCCATCCGCATCCCCATCTCTAAGAAGCACATGCTCTACCCAGAGATGGAGAGGGTTCAGATCCTGCTTGGATATATGGAAACACAGCTCTCCCTCAAACAGAGGGTGAGACCAGTGTGGAAATCTCAGGGCCCAGTCCTGGGGTCTGAGCAGAGAGCGAAGGGCCTCAGCAGAATTTGGCCCCTGGTGCAGTCCTACCTCCGTGCTGCAGAAGAACCAAGAAGCAGACCTGACCTAAGGAAGTGGTTTTGGAAAAGCTCAATACAGCATAGCAGTTATCACTTCTATCAGATCTCCCTCTTTGAAACTGGGACTGTTCCTTTCTGCGCAACTTCAGGGCTCCCTCACCCCGAACTCCTGTTCTAGAATGCTTAGCAGCTCAGTTGGGGGAACCCGGACCTCTAGGTCTGTGGAGCCTGGGTACCTCCAGGATTCTAGAAATCCCATCTCACAGCAAAACACACTGGGCTGTTCCTCCCCTCCACCCCCTCCTTCAGTGTCCCCACCACAGTCTACAGCAGTTTAGCTGGGTGCATGTCAGCTGGGGAGGGAGAAACCTCAGGTGACGCCACCCTCGCCCGGGTTCTGGGCCCTCTTGGCAAGCTCCCACGGGCCAGCCCCGAAAGCCCTTACCTTTCATGAGGACGTCCTCTGTCAGCGGGAGGCCATAGTACTCACAGAGCTTGTAGCACTGCAGGTAGACCAGAAAGGTGTCCCTGCGGGACATGTTGATGAGCTCCCTCATCTCCCCGTGGATGGTGGACGGCAGGCAGTGCTCATCAAAGTGCTTGTTCCCACTGCGCACCAGGCGGCACCGCTCCATGTACTGGATGGAGGGGATCTTGAGCTGCAAAGAGAACAGAGGTTGGCACACACTTCCCTCCACCTTGTCTTTTTCTTCCTGGCCAGAAGGCAGATGTGGAGCCTCACCTCCCTCTCCCCACTGAGGGGAAATGGCAAAGGATGCAGGGCGGGACCAAAGTTCAGGCTCTGAAGTCAGTGACTTGGGAGAAAAACCACACATGGTCAAGGTTACCCCCCAAGAGCGCTTGAATGGCTCCAGTTAAGGCGAGCAGTGCGGTGTGCACAGCCCCGTACGCGGAGCTGCACGTCACTGTATCACGTGTGCAGTAGGGTACAAAGTAGATGTCCTAGTGAACCATGGCATCCACGGGTTTGGCTGCCCCAGGATTTAAATTAGGTGCAGACATCTGTGCCTTTGAGGTGGAAGCCACGTGTCAAGGATGGCAGAGCGGAGCAGAAGAGGCCTGCGGAATGCGGAGCCACTTTGGGCCTTCTTATTTATTTATTTGCAAGGAAATAAAAAAAAATCTATCTTTTTCGCAGCATCTAACACCAGAGTCAGCAAAGTACAGCCCACAACCCACATCTGGCCCAGCACCTGTTTTTATAAAGACACTTTTCTTGGAACACAGAGGCACTCATTTGTTTAGTGGCTGCAGTCCGTGGCTGCTTTTGGGTAGTAGTTGCCACAGAAACGATAGAGCCCCAGAAGTCTAAAATAGTTGTTGCCTGACTCTTTACAAAGTTTGCTGATCCCTGCTCAAAGATGTTGGGGTTTTCTTGTCATGTAAGTGAATCAGATCTTAGTTGATATAGCACCACTTACAATGCCTATATATATAATACATAGAATATATATTTATATATTTATTATATTATTATATTTAATATATAGTTAATTTAATATATAGTATTATAATATATCTTTCTATTCTATTTATTGTATATAATAAAATATGCATTTATATATAGTATAATACTAATACTGTCTGCCTCCCTGAAGGCAGGGGCTGTTTTGTTTTCTGCTGAAAGAGCGCCTGGCCCAGTGCCGTCTCTCGATAAATATTTGTTGGGTGAATTCCTTCATGCCATTCATTCTTCCTTCACTGGTCATGTGTTTCTGGAGTGCCCACTGGGTGGCAGGCCCTGTGCCGGGCACTTGGATTCCAGCTGTGATGAAGATGCAGCTCTCAGCCCTGGTCTCAGGATGCAAAGTCACAGGTAAAGAATGAGAGCGGGGATCTCCATACTCTCGGAAACATGATCTCATTTCATCTTCAGAGAAACTTCGTGAGGTAGGTGTTGTTCTCATTATCAGATGAAGAAGCCTGCTCCCGGGAGTGCCCCAGCCCGCAGGTGCAGTGAACTTGAACCCAAACCTGTCCAGGCGCCCAGCCCCATGCCCTTCCCCTTGGCCCGGGTACCTTGTGCTGCCGCTTCCTCTCGCGGTACCGCTTGCCAACATCCTCCATCTCCTCCAGAGTCATGGGCCGTGCCTCCATCTGGGTGTCGACCACGGGCACGGTCAGCAGGTCCATCTTGCGAGGCTGTGGGGCCAAATCCATCTGCTTCTTGGATGCACTCTGTGGGGAACCTCTGTGCTTGGCGGATCTGTAATCTGAAAGGACCGAGAGACTGAGAGGAGGCCCAGCTAGGGAATCCATCGAGCAGTTAACTGATGTGACCAAGCAGGTGCCGGCCACCCCTCTGCTCACTTCCCATGTAGCCGGTCAGTGCCATATGAGATGGACCTTGAAGGTACCCCTTCTCTCTTCCTCCACTACGGCCTCCCTCATGCAAGGCCGCCTCCTCCCTCACCTGCACCATGGCCCCAGCCTTCCTATTGCCCCTCTCATCTTCTAGTATCCTGTTTCCACCAAACAGCAAACAGGACCTTTTTTGGTGCTGTACTGTGGGTGAAGCTCTGGAGGCCTGTGGAACAGCGTCTCTATGGGAGCTGCCCGCTGCCTCCAAAAGAGCCAACTAGTGAGGACACTCAGCGCCCAGCTCAGTGGGACCTGGGCTCCAGAGGCCCTGGCCCAAATCTTCACGTGGGTAAGGAAACCCCTCCACTACCCCCCGCCCGCAGGGCTCTCACATGACCTCAGAAAGGGTAAGGAACACCCCACACCAACATGTCTGAAATGAAACTCCTCCCAGCCTGATGGGTGGGGGCAAAGCAAGATTTATTTTATTTAGAAAAAGAAAGGTTATATTTGGGGATATGTTATATTGTTGTACTTGTTATTATATGTTATATTTGGTTACATTTGGGGAGGGCTCTGGAATGGTGGGTGGAAGTTTATTTTTTTTGTTTATTTTTTTATTTTTTTAAAGATTTTATTTATTTATTTGAGAGAGAGAGAATGAGAGAGAGCAAGCACATGAGAGGGGGGAGGGTCAGAGGGAGAAGCAGACTCCCTGCCGAGCAGGGAGCCCGATGCCGGACTCGATCCAGGGACTCCAGGATCATGACCTGAGCCGAAGGCAGTCGCTTAACCAACTGAGCCACCCAGGTGCCCTGGGTGGAAGTTTAAAGAGGGCTTTAATTTTATCCGTAGTTCAATTTTAATTTTTTTTTACAACAACAATGGCACTAAGCTATAAAGAACCATGATGTACCCTTGTGTTGTAGAGTAAATTCATAGCCAGCACCATGGATAGTCCATTTCTGATTTGCCTCTGTGCTAAATTTGGATAGATGTGGTTCCACAAGCACATGGCCTGGCAAATGGAACTTGAGCTGTGCACAACTCACACAACTGTTCACAGCAACCCTGCTAATATCTCTGATAGTAGATATCAAAGTAGACTTTCCAGTAAACTCTAAACATGTGTTAATTCTGGTTTCTGAATTTTAGTGGTTTTTTTTTATAGTTGGTTTTTTTTAATTTTAGTTAACTTATTTTATTTTATTTTATTTATTTATTTGACAGAGAGACACAGCCAGAGAGGGAACACAAGCAGGGGGAGTGGGAGAGGGAGAAGCAGGCTTCCCGCCAAGCAGGGAGCCCGATGTGGGGCTCGATCCCAGGACCCTGGGATCATGACCCGAACCGAAGGCAGACGCTTAACAACCGAGCCACTCAGGCGCCCCTTTAGTTAACTTTTATCAGTAAAATATAGATTAATAGTAAGAAGGCCTTGGGCCCACTACAAATGGAAGGGCTTTCTGTGTGGGTCAGATTTCAGTCTATCAGGTAAGCTTTGGTGGGCTGAAACCACCTTTTGAAAATCCTCCCTTAAGGACAAGGGCTGGGCCGGGGCGCCTGGGTGGCTCAGTCGGTTAAGTGTCTGTCTTCAGCTCAGGTCATGATCTCAGGGTCCTGCAATCAAGCCCCATGTCAGGCTCCCTGCTCAGCGGAGAGTCTGCTTGTCCCTGTCCCTCTCCCTCTGCCCCTCCCCCCTACTTGTACTCACACACAGGCTCTCTCTCTCCTCTCTCTCAAATAAATAAATAAAATCTTTTTTTTTTTTTTAAAGATTTTTTATTTATCTGAGAGAGAGAATGAGAGAGAGCACATGAGAGGGGGGAGGGTCAGAGGGAGAAGCAGACTCCCTGCCGAGCAGAGAGCCCGATGCCGGACTCGATCCAGGGACTCCAGGATCATGACCTGAGCCGAAGGCAGTCGCTTAACCAACTGAGCCACCCAGGCGCCCTAAATAAATAAAATCTTAAAAAAAAAAAAAGAAAAAGGACAAGGGCTGGGCCTCATTCATCTTCGAATAGACATGGTAGGTGGGCACTCGAGAGAATATCTACTCTTTAGTTGATCGCTGGGCCTGGGAATTCCAAAGGCTTGGCCCACCCATGGTAAGCCAAAGTTGGAGAACACACTCAAGAAGTAAGCCAAGGCTGCCTCCCTCGTGCTTGCTTCCAGGATGGAGAAATGGAGACATGGGGGTGGGGGTGGATACGTACACTCCCTTGCAGTTGACAGGGTGCTTCTCTGCTGAGCCAAAGACCACTGCTTGTAGTTGTTGACCAGGATATCCATAGTGATGCCATTGCACTTTCCCAGAGAACTGAGATAGATCACAACATCCTCCACCTCCTGGTTTTTCAGAGGGACTCCAATCTGAGGAGAGAGGAGAAGCCACAAAGGTGGGCGGGCTCCATCCAAACATCCTGCCTGGATGGCCAAAGCCATAGCAGCCTGGCCCCACCTCTCCTGAATAGTTTCTCGTTCCATCCACTACCACCCTCAGCTCATGCCCAAGGCCTCTGCCGCAGGAGCTCAGAGCCCTTTCCCAGGCCCTGAACACACTCTGCGCTTTCTCACCCTCTGCCTTTATTCAGGCGTTTCCACTTATCTGAAGAACTCCTATTTCTCCTTCAAAACCCAATCCGGATAAGCCACCATCTTTGCAAAGTCTGCTACTTCTTCCTTCCGGACCACCACCCCACTCCATACCAACCTCAGTGCCAGTTTTCCCAGGTTGGACTGGAAAAAGGATTTCGCGTCTACCATCCTTGTCCATGAGAAATACATAAGCCTCCCTTAACTGAAGTAAAATAGGATCAGAAGTACAAAGCACGTTACTCTTTGAGGGACAGTGAGCAACTTTGTAGTATAATGCTTGCCATCAAAACCAAATATTCAAGAAGAAAAGTTTTAAAGGAAATATAATTTTGTTCCTCAGCTTCTTTAGACTGCAGTCATAGTTCACTGAGCTTTCCTTAAAGAGGGTCAGAATTTTCCTGGGATGGAAGGATGTAATATTTTATCTTTTTTGATTATGATGATTAAAAATGCTTTATCTTTTTTTTCATGTTTTGAAAGGTTGTTTAGATGAGTACATGTTATGAAACAACAGTGTAAAAACTGATGATGATTTAAAACCATAAAAGATGTACCACTCAGCTTCCTAAAGTGTTTTGTAAAGGTAGCTTGTATTCAAAGTATATAAAAGCTTACTTCATGCAGACCAGAGGTCAGCAAACTTTTTCTATAAAGGGCCAGATAGTAAATATTTTAGGCTCCATGAACCATATGGTCTCTGTCATAACTACTCTACTCTGCCAACGTAGCATGAAAGTGGCCATGACAATACATACAAATGAGTGTAGCTGTGTTCCAATAAAACTTTATTTACAAAAACAGAGGCAGGCTGGATTTGACTTCTGGGCGATAGTTAGTAGACCCCTACTAGACCAATGGAACTTTCTGCAATGATGGAATGTTCTATATCTGTGCGGTCCAATAGAGGAACTGCTCACCACGTGTGGCTACTGAGCATTCAAAACGTGGCTGGTGTGAGTGAGGAAGTGGATTTTAAAATTTTATTTACTTATAATTAACTTAAAATCTTGGCTAGCCCTTGAAAGTGTGGCCTGTGGGCCAGTACCATACACATCACTGGGAGCTTGTTAGAATGCAGCATCTCAGGCCCTGCGCAGAGGTACTGAGTCAGAAGCTGCATTTTAACAGACCTTTATATGATCATGTGCCAGTGACAGTTGGAGAAGGTCTAGAAGGTTCTAGAGGCAAGACTGAAGGCCCAGCCATCTCTGTGCGCAGTTCTGGGGTCCGATGGGCAAGACGGTGATTCCTCAGGCAGCTGACTGGTTATGGGGTCAGTTCTGCAGGCTTTCCACTCAGAGAGGGGCTTTCAAGGTCAGATCCATGCAGGGGTGGTTTTAGGGGTCTGATGTGACCACAAGTTATGCCACATTTTCCAAGCTGGCTTTATAAGTAACAAGGCTGATGGTTTGAGTCCCCTGTGTCTACTTTTCATTTGGTCCAGGACCTGGGTGGAGGCAGCAGCGGGGGCAGGGTGCATGGACATCTTCCCCACCCGGGCCAGCCCGGAGGGAGCATGGGAGGCACTTACCGCCTTCAGTGCTACAATGAACTCCTCCCTAGAGATCCTCTGGTTCTCACTCCGGTCCACCTTGCTAAATATCTCCAGGATCTTGATCTTGCGGCTGCGCAGGTAGGAGTACAAGGTGGCCAAGGCGGAGGGCTTGGGTAGTCGGAGCTGGGGCACAGGTTGGCGGGAAGGCCGGGGGCTCTTCTGAAAGAGGCAAGAGAGTGGGGCAGAGGGGGAGAATTCAGGGGAGACAGGCCGCTGGCACGTGATTCCCAGAGTTAGAACAGGGAGAGAGAGGGGCCAAGGGGCTCTAAACAGACAGCAAGGTGGAGTGCAAGGAGCATTGGATTCAGGGCAACTGCGTGTCGCCAGAGATACTTTGCATCTTTGGGCCTCCGTTTTCCCATCAGAAACAAGAGGGTTGGACATTAGGAGAACTGACATTTCATTCTTACCCACATGTCTCCTGTCAGACAAGTCAGGATTATAATCCCTCTGGGCTCTCAGTGCCCCAAAACACATGCCCTTGCCTGGAGCCAGACAGGGCTCTCTAATCCTCCTACCTCCCAGCCTTTGCTCCCACTGGGCCTCCTGCCCAGAATACCTTTCCTTCTTTCTCTACTGTTCCAAATCCTCATCTTCCTTTAATTCCAGGTTATATATTTTATAATAAATAAATAAATAAATAAATAAATATATATTTCAGAATAATACCCCCTTACCTTAGTGCAGCACCTGACAGTTTACAAAGGGCCTTTCTGTTCCCTAGTCTATAGCTCCTCTGTGTTTGGGACCTCCCTCTATTAATGGCCTGTAGCAAACTGTAGTCATCCAACTGATGTGTCTGCCTCCCCCATTAACATCTGAACATCTCAAAAGCAATTATTTAAGCTACATACCCTTACCTCCCGTCCCCTTACTGAAAAAGACCCCCGGCCCTAGGCAGATAGGCAGTCATTGTTTGCTGAATGAATAAATGATGCTGTAAATTAGGTATTAGGTATGACTTTCCCTTTTTTTACAACTGAAAAAACAGGTTCAGAGAAGTGAAGTGACTTGTCCAGGGACACACAACCCTTGAGCAGTAGAGCTGGGTTTCTAACCCAAGTCTAGTGCTTATTCATAGACACTGTGCTGCTGTTAGGAAGGGTGTGTTAGACCTATGAAATTTGGGTTTGGACTCTGATTACACCACGGACTGACTCTGACATCAGTGAGACTGCAGTAGTAATCAAAATGGCAGACATAATATTGAGTGCTCATTCTATGGCCGGCACTGTCCAAGGCACCTTATATAAATTCATCCATTTAGATGTCACAACAACCCTAGGAAGTAGGTACAATGGTTATCCCCATTTAATAGATTGGGGATCATAGAGCTAAGAAGTAGCAGAGCTAGGTTTAAACCCAAGTTATCCGACCTCCTACCCCAACTTCACCTGACCTGGGAGAAATTTCAAGTGTTTGCATTACAAGGAAATGTCACAGAGAGCAAGCACTGGGGGATGAGGGCTCTGATACTGACTTCCATTAACTACCTCTATAGGTCTGGACAATTGATTGGCCTCATTGAGCTTCTATTTCTGTATTTATAAAAGGGAGTTCCTCCTTTTTCTTCCAACCTCACAACTGTGATCCTCACAGTAGCACTAGGAGCACCTGCCTGGCACGTACTGGCCCTTAACAAACATGTGTCCATGAACAAATGAATGAACAATGAGTATTTTAAAATGCTCCATAGGGACAGCTGGGTGGCTCAGTCGTTAAGTGTCTGCCTTGGGCTCAGGTCATGATCCTGGGGTCCTGGGATGGAAACCCATATGGGGCTCCCTGCTGGGTGGGAAGCCTGCTTCTCCCTCTCCCACTCCCCCTGCTTGTGTTCCCTCTCTCGCTGTGTCTCTCTGTCAAATAAATAAATAAAATCTTTAAAAAAAAAATAAATAAATAAAAAATAAAATGCCCCATAGATGGAATGCCAGGAATTATCCCTCCTCAGGTGGTTTTAAGATAGAGTCACAGCCTCCCTCCTGAGACGGAGCCTGATTCCTCTCCCCTCGAGCATGGACAACACTTAATGACTTGCTTCTGACAAATAGCATCCGGTCAAAGTGATCATGTGATTCTCCTGAAACTACTATCTCCTGAGATGAGGTCATAAGAGGCATTGCAGGCCTCCTCCTTGCCTAGTCCCTTGGACGGCTCACTTTGGGAGACGCTGGCTGCTAGGTGGTGAGGACATTCAAGCAGCCCTATGGAGCGGTCGCCGTGGCCAGGAGCTGAGGTCCCCCTGCCAACAGCCACATGAGCGAGCTAGCTTGGACGCAGATCTCTCTGCCTCAGTCAAACCTTCAGATATGTCTGTGGCACGTGCCAGTCACTTGAGATGAAAGACTGAGCCAGAGCCAGCCGCGAAACTCCTCCAGATTCCTGACTCTCAAAAACAGTGGGATAATAAACATTCGCGGCTTTAAATGTTTGGGGGCATTTGTTACACAGCAATAAACAACCAATACACCTCCCTTTGGGGACTTCTCTTTGCTCCTCTTTGAAATGGGGGGAACGACCCCTATCCTGCCTAACCCAAGGGAATGAGATGCCATGACAGTATGCCCCTAACACCTTCAGTGTCTTCATCAGCAAATGGGGCGGCTCACCTTGGTGGCTCTGGTAGGAGTCAGACAGGCCAGCAACCGGGCCTCATGCTCCTTCTGGATCATGTATAAGACCTTGGCCTCTGAAGGGGTGAGGCAAGGCTTGTTCTGCAGCCATTTCTCTGTGTCGCCAAATGACTCCAGGTTCTGCCGAAGTTTCAGCCTCTGGCTGAGCCAGGTCCTCGCGTCCTCCGGCTGCCCTGGGATGTCCCCGGCTCCCAGGGCTCTAAAGCTGGAGATTGGCCGTAGGGGAGTCTGGGCTTGGGCCGTGAGATTGATGGGTATCGGATCCTTGTTTTGGGGCAAGATGATGATCCGCCGGCGGCCCTGAGGCAGGTGGAAATCCTTCTGCTTGAACGGCTTGAAGCAGTGGGCAGTGACTGGTTCAGGATCGAATATGGAGTCCTTGCTGGCATTTTCATCATCACCCGAGGTCTTAGACTGGCAGAGTCCTTGGGGGAAGAGTGTTAGGTGAGTTTCTTTCAGAAAGAGGACTAACAGAATCCTCAGGAAAGAAAAATGCTATAGCAGCAGGCTGGGTGATAGGGCATCTGGGTTCCAGGCCTGGCTTTATCATTGCTTTGCTATAATAATGATTGTGCGCTCCTGGTGGCAGGCACTATGCTAAGAGCTCTATATGCTTTTTCTTATTTAATCTTACTCGTCCCACCCCACCCCAGTACTCCTTATCGGCCGCAATCGGTATGATCTTTTTTTAAAGAAAGATTTATTTATTTATTTGAGAGAGAGAGAGAATGAGCGGGGGCGGGGGGGGAGGAGAAGGAGAGGGAGAGAGAGAATCTTAAGCAGGCTCCACACCCAGTGAGGATCCCCTCATGGGGCTCAATCTCACAACCCTGAGATCATGACCTGAGCCGAAACCAAGAGTTGGACGCTTAACCAACTGAGCCACCCAGGCGCCTCCAGAATGATCTTTTAAAAATGCCATTCTGGGGGGCGCCTGGGTGGCTCTGTCAGTTAAGTGCCTAACTTCAGCTCAGGTAATGATCTGAGCTGGGTTCTGGGTCAGGCTCTGTGCTCAATGGGGATCCTGCTTCTCCCTCTCCCTCTGCCCCTCACCCTGCTCGTGCATGCACTCCCTCTCAAATAAATAAATAAAATCTTTAAAAAAAATAAAAATAAAAATGCCATTCTGATTTGGTCTGATCATCCGAGCAGAGGCTTTGGAGCCAGAATGCTCCAGCCCTGTCCTGGCTCTGTTGCTTCATGGCTGCATGATCTTGGGCAAATTACTTAGCAGTTCTGTCTCAATTCTTCATGTGTAAAATGGAGAGAAAGAGGGTACCTACTTTACTGAGTGGTGGAGATGGTTAGAATCAGTCCATTTTAGAGGTGCTTTATTCATAGTAAGTGCAGCGTTTGTTTGTTTGTTTTTTAATGTACTCACCCTTCACCTATTTTGAAACGCTTCCATGACTTTCAAAGTCCCATGACCCTCCTCTGTCAACATTTCCGACCTCATCACTTGCCTATCCTTCCTTACTATATCCCAGATGCCTTGACCTTCTCTCAATGATCCCTGAATGGTCCAAGCTCCATCCTGCCTAAGGGTTTTCCACGTGTTCCATCTGCCAGAAATGCTCCCTCCCCCATCCATCCCCTCCTCAGTCCTCATCTTCAGACCACATGTTACCTCTCCAGCTCCCAAGCTCTGTTATATCCTCATGTTATCTCTGCGTAATATAACCTATATTTTCATTTGGACCACTTATCACAGGTATGTGAATTAGGTGGCCCTCATGCTGAATGAGGCTTGGGGTCCTGTTTTGTTTGACATATTCCTTAAAATTTTCCAGCTTGAGTTACTTTAGGCTGGGGCATGCCCTCTCCGTAGTCCCTACCATTCTCTGTTGTCTCAAATACACATCAGTTCATTTATTAAATGTGTGCTTCAAGCAGACATTTGTGTTTGAAATCCCTGGTGTAATTACTTGGTTGATGTTTATTTTTTCAATAGACTATGGACTGGGACCTCATCTCTCTTGTTCCCTGCTGGAGCCCCAGCACCTCCACATGCCAACATATGGAGGGAGCTCAGTAATTATTTGGTGAATGAGTGGATGTCAAATGGACAGACCTAACAGGTCAGCTCTAAGATTATACCATTTTACAGACAAGGGCACTAAGGCCCCGAGAGGCCCAAGGTCACACAGTTGATTAGTAGCAGAGCTGGGATAGATCAAATGAATAACAGATATGTTCTAAAATTCAGTAGGGATATAACATTATTATTAAAAATATTGTCACCATATTTTCCTTCTAAAACCCAAACTCCCCTGCTTTAAAACCCTTTCATTGCCTCCAAAATAAAATTCAATCTCCTTAATCTGGCCCCACCAGACCTACCCACCTCTGCCAGCCTCTCTAATGGGCTCCTTCTCTTGTTCCTTCTGGGCTCACCCTGTATTTGTACCCCAAAACTGAGCTGACTACAGTTCCTTGGTCCCCTTGCCCTGGCCACATGCTATTTCCTCTCTCTGGAATGCTCATCGAGACTTAGGTTAGGCATCACCATCTCCTGAAGCCTTCCCCCCCACCACCACCCTCATGCCCTCTCTGGGTTCCCATAGCACCCATGCCCATCCCCATCATAGCATTTACCATATTTTTCTGGATGAAGATGCTTTCTGAGTCTTTCTCTCCCAACAGCCTGTGGGCTTTCCAATGTTAAGGACTGTGTCCTAGTTCCCATGTATCCCTGGTGCCCAGCCTGGCACAAAGTGAACATTCAGGACATTTGTTACGTCTCCTTACAATGCCCATGTATTTCTTTCATGGTCACAAAATAATGAGTATACATTAATGTGGACAGAAGTGAGCACTTCTTAACAACCCATTTATCATTTCTATGAGGACAAGAAGCTGGGTATAGCTGAGAATGTAGCCATTCATCAGACCAGTATTTGCTGAGAATCATGCAGTACTTGGCATGGTCAGGTGCAGATCCAAATGAGGCTGGATGCCCAACCACAGAGCACTGGCATGGAACAAGGTGGGGTAACCAGAGGGGTAACAAGATGCTCTCAGTTGGGGGAGAAATGCTGATGGAGGAACCCGGGAGGTCATCGTGAAGGAGGAGGCATTGACATGTGCCTTCAAGAAGGATTCAGATTTCAGGGGTGGAGGGGCCAGCGTGGGGAAAGTTTAGGGGTGGGCTTTGGAGATTTTAGGGTTACTATAGTTCCACGAGTTGGAAGCACATTGTGTGTGAAGGAGGAAGTTAATGGGAAATGAAGTTGGAATCATCTTGAATGCCAGATTAAGGGGTTTAAACTTTACCACGTCAACCATGGGCACACACTCAAAATATGCTCCTCCTTGGCCTTGCCACTGCCACTGGGTCCTCACTAGACCCCAAATCCATGATCTTCCCTTAGCCAGAAGAGTCACGAGTCACTCCCCTCTGAAACCCTTCAATGGCTTCACTGAAATGGCTTCTCAGTGCCCCTAGAATAAGCAACCCCCTCCTGCAATGGCCTACACCACTGTCCTCACCTGGGTCCTGCTCCCACTTCTCTCCCCCTTGCTTACTTTGCTCCAGCTGTGCAGGCCTGCTTTCTCTTTGTCCAACTCTCCTAGCTCTGTCCCAACTTGGTTTTGGCATTTGCTGTGCCCTCTGAAGAGCATGGGATTCCCCAAGATCTCCCCTGGCTGCGTCCTTTTCACCATATGGTTCTCAGCCCAAGTGCATCCCCCCAAAGTCACCCTGACTACCCTATCAAAGGTCACATGCCCACCACACCACAGAGCTTCCATTCTAGTGATCTTTGGGGTCCTGTGTCCATTGGTAGGAAAGTGATGTGGGCTCTTATAGTAAAAGATGTCACCACATAGTTGTGGGTAGAGACTGTGTGAAAATGTCCCCAAGAGATTGTGAGGACAGCTTTCAGAAGCTAACTAGTCCACTTGCCTTCCCAGGTCAGGGAACTCTTTTCTGCAATGACCCTGGCAGATTTTACCTCTGCTTGTATACACCTCTGGCAACAGGGAGTTCTCTACTTTGCCTTGTGGATGCCTAATTCTGATTGCTAGAAAAGACTTCCCTATATTGACCCAGATTTCATTTCCCTGGAATTTCCGTTGGTCCTAGTCCTCCCCATTGATGCCCCAGAAAACGCATTTGTTCCCTCTTTAGTGGGACAGCCCTTCAGGTATCTGGAGACAATTCAACTCTCTTGAAATTGTCTTGTCTTGGCTCTGATTCAAATCTCTCCCTAAGTTCCATCCTACCTCTCAAGCCACTTGCTGTTTGGCTTCTCTTTTCCTGCCCACCCCTTAAAATTGGTGCCTTCCAGGTTTATACCTGGGCTTTCTTCTTTTTTTCAAACAATCTCCCCTACTCTCGTGTTTCTGTGACCTTCTCTATGCTGAGGACACCCACACCAATATTTATGACTTGAAATTAGCTGCAACTTTCTATACACTTGCTCCTAAAGCATCTCCACTTGGATGGCCTACAAGTATCTCAGACTCAACCAGTGAAGACTGCACTGATCTCCATGTCCTGTCTCCACTGAATCTGTTCCTCCTGTTAGGTTCCTGATCTCTGTGAAAGCCACCTCCATCTCTAGGTCACCCTAGCTACCAACCTGAGCATCATCTTGGATTGTTCTTTTCATGTTTCCTATTCACTCAGCCCCCGAGTCCCTCTAGTCCCCTCTAGCCTGACCACGCTCCCTCACCTCTCAGTATCTTTGGTCTGGATATTTTGGACAGCCCCAGATCTCATCAATCTGTGCTTCCAGTATTCCGAGTCTGCCTATTCACTCTGCATTTGCTGATGCTCCCAATACAATACTGTCATTCCCAGTGGCTTCTCCATCTCTTAACTCACAAGTTCTTTCATGATCTTGTCCCTTCTGACCTCTCTCACTCTCATCCCCAGTAACACTCAAATTACCAGCAATTTCCTGAAGACACCATATGTCTGAGCCTCTTTGCATGTGGTTCTATTGGCCTGGAATGCCTTTCCTCCCCATTTTGGCATGGAGAACTCCTTGTATCCTTAATTTAGACCCCAGTGTAAAGATCTCTTCCAGAACCTTGGAACTGTTCCTCTCCATCCTCTACACTTAGCAGACCTTTTATTCCTGGGTGTCATCCCCAGGCCTGGCATCCACCCTTTATTCTGTAATTATCCATTTATCTGCCTGTCCTTCACCTCTGAAGTTGCAGGGCTTTGCAGCAGCAGGCTATCGTGGAAGGTTTGAGGACTGATAGCTTTCTCCATGCTTCTCCAGTACCCAATACATTAATATCCAGCAGAGAAGTGGGGCAGAGGGCGAGCCAGAGGGCTGTGGATGTCTTTCCCGGGCTCAAAGATTGGACCTCTGATTTCAGACCAAGGCAACTTGGCCCACACCTCCAGCCTGGGCATGGAAATCTGAGAAATGTGCATGACCTGCCCCCGACTCCTTGGCAACCCCTCATCTAGAGGGGGGGACGGCACAATGAGATATTTGCCCCCGTCCTTGCCCTCACCCCACTTGCACGCATCTGCACGGCGCTGCTTCCCTGGAGCTTACCGAGCAGCGACAGGAACAGAGACTCATTCGTTTCCTGGGAATCGTCGTCCATGGTCACAGCGTCGCGGGCGGGCGCTGAAGAGTGTGTATGAATGCGTGTGTGTGTGTGTGTGTGTGTGTGTGCGCGCGCGCGCGCGCTTGCGTGGGAGCACCAAAAAACAGTAATTCCAAATTTTGCAAGAGACCCTGAAGTCTCAAGCTTAGAAGCTACTGTTGCCAGGACTACAGACGCCCTGCGCTGATTGGCTGAACGCTGCCACGCTCCGAAGTCCGCGGGAGGAGGAGGGTTGCGGAGGCAGACCCTCCCACTCCCAAATGCCCCGTGCTTCTCCTTTTGCGGGTCCTGAGAGGCAATCGCAGCCATGCAGAATTCCTAGCTTGGCGAAAGACAGGATTTCTTAGTATGGCCCAGTGGCCCCTGAACCTGGTGTAATAAATCCCTGGTTGTCCTGAAAGCTGTAGGATCTTGAGCCGGCCTCCACGTCTTTCCTTTTCATCCAAGGAACAGGCCCTGCCTCCTCCAGAGGGGTGGTAGAAACCCAGAGTCTTGGCCAAATAGAAGCAGTATGCTTTGCCCCCTAATGACAGGGTGCCATGGCTTAGAAATACAAAACCTGATAACAGGAATATTAATAATATACACTTGAAATGCCCATCAACTGATAAATGTATAAACAAAATGTGCTCTGTCCACACAATGGAATGTCATAAAAAAGTTAAGTACTGGGGCATCTGCCTTGGGCTCAGGTCATGATCCTGGGGTCCTGGGATGGAAACCCGTATGGGGCTCCCTGCTGGGCGGGAAGCCTGCTTCTCCCTCTCCCACTCCCCCTGCTTGTGTTCCTGCTCTCGCTATCTCTCTCTCTGTCAAATAAATATTAAAAAAAAAAAAAAGTTAAGTACTGATGCATGCTACAATACAGATGAACCTTTAAAACATTATGTTAAGCGAAAGAAGCCAGACACAAAAGGTCACATATTATTCTATTTATAAGATATGCCCAGAACAGGCAAATCTATAAACACAGAAAGCAGATTGGCAATAGCCAGAGGCTGGAGGTGAGGTGTGTGGCTTTGGGTTTGACTGCTAACAGGCACGGGGTTTCTTCTTAATGGGTTGGAAATGTTTTAGAGTTAGTGATGATGGCTGCACAACATTGCTGAGTGTACTAAAAATCATTTAATTGTATACTTTAAAATGATTAAATGATGAATTTTATATTATGTGAATTTTGTCTCAATAAAAAGTTTTAAAAAACAAACACTTGAGCGCTCAGTCTGCATAAGGTACCATCTTCAACGAATTGTATTATCTTTGTGACCCTCTCAACCTGAGGTAGTCACTCAGACCATCCCTATGAGCCACATTAACAGCACTTTTATAAGCCAGGCTCCGTTTAAGCAATTACATGCATTAACTCAATAATCATTATAATAACTGTGTAAGTTATTATGAGTGGTGATAGCCTCACTATCACTTTTGAAAGAGATGAGGAAACAGGTACAGAGGGCAGGCGACCTCACCTGCACCAAAGGAGAAAAGCCAGATATGGCCACGGCTGGAGCTCCCTTGCTGTGTCCACACAGGCTCATACTCCCCAGGGTATCTGACCGCAGGCCCTGCCATTCAGCCACACCTGATGTCCTAGGCTTGGTGAGCTTGCCTTAGCCCCCAATCCCAGCTGGGGCCCAGCGTTTCAGAGGGCCCTCTATACTCTTAGCTGCAGGGTTTGGGCATCTTGCCCCTACAACTTACTCCTTTTGTTCCCTTCCATTATTTTGTGTGCCTTTCTCTCTCCCTGAGATCACATGTCTCTACAGAACCTTTTTTTTTTTTTTCCCAAAGATCTTATTTTAAGTAATCTCTACACCCAACGGGGGGTTCCAACTCACAAACCTGAGATCAAGAGTTACATGCTCTACTGATTGAGCCAGCCAGGCACCCCTTTACAGAACCTTTTCATCTTTGTGTCTCTCACAAGCACAGGGTTTGCATTTAGTAAATGCTATGTTGAGGATTGCTAAATAAAGATGTGATGGGATGTTATAAAGTGGGTGTTTGCCTTGTTGGGGGGGATATGGCCAGTTTTCCCGTTCTCTGGTCAAAATCCTTCTCTCTCTCCAAAAACTGAAACTAGCTCACTAAAGTGGAAACAACCAACTTGTCCTACAGCACACTCCACCC